AAAAAAAAAAAAAAAACTTCAATTTTATTAGTTAATGTTGAATAAGAAATTAGTCTGAAGTTATACATACAATAATATATGTAATAATATGTATTTCATATAAAATAATAATATTAATTTGCATGTTTATTCCTTAGTTGTAAAAAAATCTAAAATACATTAAATCAACATATCATTTGTCGAATTGCCATGTAAAATATCAGATTATAAATAATCAAAATATTTATAATAAATTATGATAAAACAATAAGGCATCCTTCGAACTTCAGTGGAAATTATGATTTTAAAGGAAAATCAAAATATTTATAGTATATTTATTACAAATTCCTCCTATATATAATTTCCGAATGCGCGGAACCTAAGTGGCTGTTTCTGGTGCTTCGGAATCCTACTTGGCGAAGAATCATGCTTCGTAATTAGGTTTGGACAAATAATATTGATATATTAATAATTAATAATTTAGGTTGGGACATTCCATAAATATTATTTAGCTAAGTTAGGTATTTTAATATCACTTGTACTAATATAACCCTTTAATTTGTTGTCATTTTACATAGTGAGTCACTAAGTGACTAATATATCCCTGACTTTTGATTTGTTTCCTTCAATTAGCTATTAAATTATAAATATATTTTAAAAATTGATAACTTTTGTATTTCTTATCGGTTTTACATGTATAATATATCAAATTAATCATCTTTTCATGATCTTCGATTTGACATCCATATTGTATATATAAAATAAATAAATTATATTTATCTTTATAATAATATAAAATAATAATATTTATTAAAATGTATTAGAAAAACTAGTACAACACCCGTGTATTACACGGGTGCTTATTAATTTTTTTCTTAAAATTTAAAATTAATGAGAAAAAGTAGTTTGGAAATTTAAATACCTTTTATAAGAATATATATTATTATATATTATTATGATACTTTTTATTTGTGCGACTTACTTGTGTTATATTATACTAATTTTTTAACTTAAAATATATAACTACATTAAATATAAATATATCAGTTGTGAAATAATTTTATTTTTCTAATGAATTTTAATAAATTTTATTATTATAAAGATAAATTAATTTATTTATTTTATATATACAATATGGATGTCAAATTGAAGATCATCAAAAATGAATAATTTGATATATTATATATGTAAAATCGATAAGAAATACAAAAGTTATCTACTTTTAAAATACATTTATAATTCAATAGCATATTGAAGGAAACAAATCAAAATTTAGGGATATATTAGTCACTTAGTGCCTCACTATGTAAAATTACAAAGAATTAAAGGGTTATATTAGTAAAAGTGATATTAAAATACCTAAGTTAGCTAAATAATATTTATGGAATACCTGAACCTAGATTATTAATTATTAATATATAAATATTATTTGTTCAAACCTAATTACTAAGCATGATTCTTTGCTAAATAGGATTCCGAACCACCAGAAGCAGCCACGTAGGCTCAGCGCATTCGAGAATTATATATAGGGAGGATAAAATTATTTCTGAGTTGATATATTTATGTTTAATGTAGTTATATGTTTAACTTAAAAAAATTATTATAATATAAGAAAAGTAAGTCACACAAATAAAAAGTGTCATACTAGATATGTAATAATATATATTTTAATAAAAGGTATTTAGATTTTCAACTACTTTTTCTCATTGATTTTATATTTTAAGGAAAATATTAGCAAGCACCCGTGTAATACACGGGCGTTGTACTAGTTATTATGACAAATCAATGGATCATCTGCCGAATTATTTATGTTAATTATTAACTTTAGAATATATATATATATATATATATGTGATTTATCTTGTATAATTATAATGAATCAAATAGTCACCTGTCAAACAACGATGTGAATTGTTAGCTTAGAAAAATTATAATGTATATTGTTATAAATTTTAATGATAAAACAATTGTGTCGAATTATCATGAACTATTAGATTAGAAGTAAAATTCAAAATATTTAATGCATATTATTATAAATTATAATAAACATTAAAATAATATTGACATAGTTAAGAAATAGTACTTTTATATATTTAAATTAAGTGTTTGTTTATAATATTTGCCACAATTTTTAAACTTTACCATCACTTATATAAGGATCAAAATATTTTATTATAATAAAGTATGAGCAAGGGAAGAGAGAGAAGTATTTTTGTGAATATTGTTTATTGATAATGTTGAATAGGTTAAATTTTCGTATTCCTTGGTTCTAAACAGTAACTCTAGACAATTATTTTAAATGAGCGAAACAAATATATATATCATATTTTTATACTATTATATATCATAAAAATTAACACTGATATTAAGAATTATTTTTATGTAACAATCACTATTTTCTTATTTTAATTTATATAGTTTATTATTATGTCTCGTGCATCACACGAGCTATATACTAATTATATATGAAATAGATAAAATAAATACAAAACTTACTATCTTTTAAATATATTTATAATTTAAGTTACTCAAGCGTTTTATAATTTTAAAGGTTAATAAATAGTCCTGGTCTAATCATTAAAAATTAACATATAGAATTACGAATCATCAAAATTCGACACTAAAGTTACGAAGAATCAGAAGTCGACACTTAAGATTAATGGGGATATACTACACGTATATTTTAATAGAGATATTTTTTTTTTCAAATCGACAAATACTTTCATAACTGAAAAACTCAAAAGAGTATATGGTGTGTCAATTGATATTAAAGAACCATAAAACTTTGACCTACCTCCTTGAACTTCTAGAAGAATTTGAATGGTTCAACTCCATCAAGAGACAACGGCCAGAACAAAATGAAACTCCATAAAGGAGACTTAAGTTCTATATAGGAGACTAGGACCAAATGAAGCTAGACGAACAAACCGAAAACAAAGAAAAACATACACCTAATGTACAAATAAAATTAGACCCCCTAAACCTAGCAGACATAACGCACGACCACTCGAGTTGACACACGAATCACTCCCAGCAGTTCAGAGATCCAACAAATCAGCAAACCAGAACCTCAAGTCCAAAAACTGCGGCAACTCGCCACATAGACGAGTCTAATGCAGAGTCAATTCTCGATTCAGATCTAAACTTAAAAAATCTACTACCTTGGAGAAGATGTGAGAAGGGAGAGAACCGCCACAAAAGCAGGGCCGACTCTTTGGGGAGGCAGCCTAGGCCCATGCCTAGGGCCTCCCCATATATTTGGGGCCTCATTTTTTTTTTTTATTTTTTTTTTCAATATTATGCATTTGTGTTTGTGTTTGGCCTATTTGCATATATGAAATGACTTGTCCCATTATACAAATGAAGTGACTAATTAATGGATGGACTAATGAAAAAATATGTACTTTGTGTGGGAATTGAGGCCCTAAATTTTTCTTTGTTTTCTTATGATGTTCGGTCAGAAAAATTGTGTGAGAATAAATATTCTTTGCAGTGATATGATTTTTATTTTCTTCTCCTTGTTGTCTGATTGACTGTAATTTATTAAAGATCTTTGTAACTCATAGATAATATACCAATTCCAAGGTATAGAAAAACAAGAAAAATCATATTTTTTCAATTATTTATTTATTTAATAATCTTGTTTAATTAGGTTTTTTTCTTCTATAATTCTACAAATAGCCCTAATTACCACGCAGTTCAAATTTAAAAATTCGAAAAGGACAAACTTATCTAGGACCTCCAAATTTCTGGAGACGGCCCTACACAAAAGACACCAATAACCCACGCTGGAGGGCTCGAGAGGGGTACAAACGCGCAATAAGCCACTCCCTTTGACACAACAACTAAGGAACACGAACCTAGACTCACTGACGGACCGGTGACTCAAGAGGCTAGGGGCCCGGTGCTGACGACCTGCAACCCAATCTTAGCCGGGGAGAAATTGTTTAGTGGTACATCATTTGATTATATAAAATAGGAGTGCATGTGAATATATATTGAAATGAAAAGCTAAATAATATAACAAAACGAACCGTAATAAAGTTAAACTACATGAAAATTAAACAACACAAAGTGCAAAAATATTTCGTTTTCGCACTTAGGGAAAAAAACATTACATTTTTTTTTTTTTTTTTGGGAATAATACACGATAAGTGAATAAAAAAACAGGAGACAAATTAAATAAACATATTGAGGGGCAATCGACCCATGGACTGCAGAGTCCCCTTTCCAAGGCCATACTTAGATTACCCCCACTTGCGAGTAAAAAAGACAACCCTTAAATCTGATGGCACAAGAGAATCCATCTTATTATCTTTATCTTCCAAAATCGGGTTTTCAATTTTTTTTTTTATTCCATTCAATTTAATGAATAAAGCTTATATAATTATCTTTTATTCAGTTCAATTTAATGAATAAAACTTATAAAATTACAGCATTGTTGCTTTTAATTCACCAAGCGCAAATTGAAATGCGAGAGATCATTCGAAACAAACACAATGAGTCAATGAATGAAAAAAATTTGACAAATAATAAAGTTACTATTTATGTCTAATTTACAACGAAAATCGGCTTAATTTCACAAAGTTACTATATTAGTTATATAAAATCGCATTAAAAATAGCACCTAAACTCGTCTAATGATTAGGCAGATTGATCTATCACATGTCTTGAACAAAGAATGATAGAGATAGAATATTGTGCATGTAACAGTAGCAACCAAAGCAAAAACCTGAAGCATGAAGCTCCACACAAAAATA